ACTTGTCAAAAAAAACAATAAATAATCCGACCACACTCAAATTTAGACGCAAAAAAAATTAAAAAAAAATTCCTCAAATGCTTCTTTCACAAACAGTCAGCCATATTCAAGATATACTTTCAAAAATTTTTTCAATCATTTCTATTCTCTAGCACAAACATTCATAAATTTTTCAAAAATCCTTGACCACCTCCTCAGGTACGATACTTCAAAAACTATCTAAATGTTCCAACATCTATTCAGTAGAACAGATATTTCTCTTATATTTATAATATTTCTCACAATTCTGACATGCCTCATAATGACAATATGCATATGTATAAAAAAGGCTACCATAACTTTCGCATTAGCAACGATACTTTTCATTCTTTTCATCGAAGAATATTTATTACAAAAAACAAAATTTCTTCGTAAAAATATTTTTAAAATTTTTCTAAAATTGCTAATCAACAACCCCCACACCAGTCCTCACTAACAACATTCCAAGAACTTCCAACAACACCAGCAAATAATCAAACAAAAAACCCTCAATCATCAACACGCATCTCTTTTCAAGACAATCCATATACATTTGAAGAAAGAAACGCACGATTGTCCGAACCACTAGAACCAGCAATTCGCCAAGCACCTCTAAGCGAACCACAATACGAACCAGTATATAATATATACCCCCCTCTCCAACAAGATCTTAATATAGCAAGACAACAAAGTCAAAATCAAAACACGCTCGAAATAACCAGACAAATTATACATCCAAGACGAAATAGAAATTTGCAAATTCCCAGAGTTCAATTCAACATACTTCATTCGCCAATAGCAAATCCTATAGAACTCTCCAGTAGTACAATTCAAAGTACTACCCAGACCGCATCACAACAAAACACATCAAACATCGCATCAGATTATTTAGGTTGAACCCCTACATCTGAACAAATTCGAGAAAATCCTTTTAATCCCCCAGCTACTACAGAACATCTCCCATATTGAATGACACAAGTTTTCAGAGTGAACCAAATTTAGTGAACGATCTACTAGACGCTTCATCTGACACAACTTTGTCACTAACAGAAACACTCACTCCCCTCAACCCCTTCCTTAAGTCAAATCTCACAACCACCATTTACTCCAAATTTTCCTACAAATCTCGACGCTAGATATCGAGAACATTACACCAAAAACGTACCCCTATGATTTGACTGAAATACAATCGTAGCACCGCCTCCATTATTTGGTCAACATCACGAAAGTAACAGATTACACAACTGGGCACTAAACAGATTACAATACCGACAAGATATCCACAAAGTTATACAAGAACATAGCATACAAACACTTACACAGGATTATCTGACACTAAAATTTGAAATCACAGCTAGACTAACTAATATAATACTAATTATAACCACAGAAAATCATCTACAAATACGATAAGGTATACAAAAAGGACAATTGGATATATAACTTTTTATAATCCATAATCAGGACTATCATAAACATGTATCTTCTAAAGATACTAATTTTCCAGACCCTTATCTTTCTTAATTTCTCAGAACCCGATCATAACAATCCTTCCCCCCGAACAGGAACCCAGGATTTACTAGTCACACACTATAACTGAAGAAAATGAACAAAAAACATTTCACAAATATGCAATAAATCAGATCACTCAAGGCGAATCCGAGCCACAAGCTATAGAAACAACAAGCATTATAGCTGCACTTTACTCAAAAGCACGAGCTACAACACTAACAGGTTATAAATTCACAGCGACATTTTCCGAAAAGAAAGTACATTAATCTCAAGTCTCAAACAGAAATAAGAATAGACAAGATTATGAATCTTTCTACCAAAGTAATATTTACATCTCAGCCCTGATGATTGTAAAAACAAACTTAGCTAATTAAAAATTACATCAAACAAAGACACAAACAGAAAATTGGTAAACTTTCAAGTTTTTCCGAACTTGAAAGATACCAAGGTCATATAAAACTAGACAACAAACTTCAATTCCACGGCGCACATAGAAGATTAACTTACGATCTCCATGATAAAAAATGGATACCACACATCGGAATAGACAATCCCTCAAATAGTAAAGCAGACACTAAAAATAAAGGATACCAAGAAATAATGTTTTTTTTTATTGGAAAATACAGTGTTTAGAAGTTTTTAGAAAAAATATCACTTTTTTTATAAACATGGGAAATCTAAACACTATCATAAAACATGGTAGGATCGGGCGCCAAAAATTTTTCTGAAACTTACCATCTGAAACCTTACCATTTTAATACGTAGGAATCCTATTCTCTATCTTAATACATAGGGAAATCTATTCCCTATCTTCATACATAGGTTGGTGACCGGATGGTCTTATCCCTATCTTAATACATGGGGGTCCCCCTCTCCCTCACTCATATACTACTCCCGCCCACTAATCGTCCAACACGAATTTCTACAGCCCGTTGAAATCTCGATCCTAGAATTCATCCATAACACCAGATATAACAATAAACTTTATAAACTCATCCAAAATACACCTTATAAACTCCCACCTAGCACTGAAGAGCACAAAATCATTAGAGCACTCGAATTGCTTTGACCACTTCTCCAAACTAGATACATCATTCGTTTGATAGCTATATTACTAACATCATCAGAAATCTTCCACGACGTTTTTCCCCACGGATTCTTCACACACGAATAAGGTAATATGAATTTTAAAAATTATACTAACCAATAGAACAAAAACTAACCATTCTTTATAAATGTTTTCTCTTTTCTCTAGTCTTCACAGGCAGGATCATCAATCATCTACAAAAAAAAACGAAACAAAAAACAAAACTTTTTTCTGGAATCATAATTTCATATTAACCAATTACAATAAATGAAGCAGTAAAATTTACCCCCAAAACAGCAATAAATTGATAAATAAACTCTTTTCCCATATGCAGTATTTATTCCTATAATGAAAATAAATTGATAATTTCAATCCCCCAAATAAAGCCGTAAAATTAATCATTTCAAAGTAGTAAATTAATAAAAATTGCCTGAAAAACTTAAGCAGTACTAACCTTTTCAAAGACGCTTCTTTGTAGTTAAATATTCACTCGCCCACAATCCTATCCACAATCGCACAGCTCGCCCACGAGGAATTGTTTAAAATAATGAATTTAAGTTTTAACTTTCACTGATAACAACTCTAACCAGTTTTAACACATTTCAAACTTTCCTTTAACCCGGCTGGAAACGAATTATATAATGATCCAGACTAACCAACGCAGCTTACTAAAGACCACAAAACCACAACCTAACAGCATGACTAAGAAAAAAAACCCACGGTACCCAAACCGGATGAAAACCAGCTTAGAACTGGATAAATTATTCTTTTGAAGACTACTTTCAAGTCTGAACATAAAAGAACAAAACACAATAAAAGTCGAGAGACAAACCGAAAACAAACAATTTGAATTTTGAAGAGAAGGACACAACCAAGACAAAAATGAAAAAACCAGTAATAAAAAAGGCACGAAAAATGAACACAAAAAGGACTCTCCAAAAAAAGAGCATGAATTTATACTCCACTCCTGGCCTAACCCACCAGAGAGGACGTCCTGAGCATGCTCTAAAGCCGGCCTACCCCACCGTGCTACATCCACGCTTTGTGACCCACACTCCATTTTTGACGAGAGTTACTCAAGGGTGAGTAGCTCTTAAAAATAACCGAACTAAACAAGAACGCTTTTGCGATAAAATTAATACAAGATCATAACTAAAAACAAAACTAACAAAGATTTGTATATGTAAATAAAACAATGCAGTATATAGATTACATACAGCCCAAAGACGAGCAGCAAGGGACTTGACAACCCAATCACACCCCAACTACGGAATGACAAAACACACCCGACATGCTGCCTACAGTCACTACACAAAAGATTTAAAGTACGACTTGGCATCGCAACAAGGCCATTGAAACAGAACAATGGCCATCTCGATGTTCAAGTATACGTACAGATCAAAGTCACCAGGCACTCCATCCAAAGTCAACTACATGCCACCTCCGAACGAGATTGGAACATTGCTATTCTCTGATAAATCAAATCAACACTCATCACAACCGATCAGAAATCATGATACGATCTCCCGAAACGATCGTGATAACAATCTTTCTTCCTAATCGGAAAAAAGAATATGCTCGCAAGTTCTAAAGAAAGACACATCATCCATCCTCCACAACAGTAGAACACTGAAGAACTAAAACTCTGTAAACCCCGGATGGGTGGAACCAGATCTAAACTAGAATTTATTATTGGATATGATTCTGATATTTTATCTCTATAAAATATTGAACACTAACCAATCACACTCCATCAAACTAACAATCCACTTATTTGTAAGTGCTGAAACTACTTGTAGTTTCAGCACCAGAGCAATTTGAATTAAACTTAGAATACAGTTGTTCTCATTCTGGAAACTAACTCGCATAAATCGGTGTACACTAGATCTATTGAGACTAGGAGATATAAGAGTAAGATTAAGATTGGTATTAGACTAAGAAGTTGCATGAATCTATCCGGCTGAAAATAAGATAGCGTGACGAGCAGACGGTGTACCTTATCTGAAATTACTCTGAGTTGACCAAATAACATATAAATGTACAAATGTATACATGTGTATGTGTGTATATTGATTTGAAATAAAGGACATTCAGCCGTGGTTAGCTTAATATTTTAAATAATATTTTAAATGAAAAGCCTTTCAGCCGTGGTTTGCTTAATATTTTAAACAACGTGACGGGAAAAACCAGTTTAAAATTCTTGCTAGAAACATTTAAAGTGATTTATGACTCTCGAATTCGTCTGACTTTTTAGTCTTGCCTGACTTTGCCAAGGAGCTAAAAGCTGATTCCTACGAGAACTTGGCCCGATTCAATGTTTTATTTTGTGGATCCGCTTCTTGTAGTGTATAACATGAAATAATATTATAATAAAATAACTAACTAAGAATGCTCTTTGCGATGACTTGCGGAGCCAGTTTTCCCTTGATTGATCCGAAGGCGTGTAGGAAGGTCACACAGAGCACCGGCCAGCAGATGCAAGCACTTCCTGTCAAGAAGATTCGCCCTGCCTGCACCAGTCCTGTGTTCACTTCTACAGAAACAAACATAGCCAATCGAAGATTGGAAAAGAGTAATGAACACAGGTAAAAAAAAAACATTGACTTCGTTTTAAAAAATCTGAACTTTCGAATTTCAAAGAAAAAAAATAGATACCCTTTAAGCTCTATGATATCCTAGAACAATTTATTATTGGCGCTTTTTGATATCATGAACCCAACTTGAGAAAACTGGATCAATAGGTAAAGTTTTTATTCCGCTGAGAAATCTTGAAAAAAAATTCACTTTCGAAACTAGAAATCGTTCATGTTTCTTTCGCGCCATTTCCAAACTCGTATTTGGAGAGTGCTATTTACGTCACTTTCAGCAGATGAAATCAAATTGAACTCAAAAAGTGCATATATACCTAAGTGCATTCGAAAATGCATCAATATGTATGAATGCACATCTGTAGTTATTAGAGACTTAAGACTTTTGCCCGAAAAAAAAAACATTAAAAAATCAGCAAGACCTATAAAAGAGTCTTCGCTACGTTCATTACTCTTAAAAACATTAAAATAGCAGCAGTGTAAAATAAAAAGAAAAAAAAGTAGCAGCAGTGTAATAAAAGACTTCAAATACCCAAATGAGAGATACACATACCGGTTCAAACACCCGCATTTAAACGGAACAGATCTCAACTTTGCCAGGAATCTCTTAAGTTTTCGCTGTTTATTAGCCAGACAAAAAAAAATTACCGAAGCGTACCTTACGAATTACAATTCCGAAGACACCATCAGGGTTGAAGTTTGCACTTCCATACCTATTAGATGATCAAATTATATCCTAGTAGACCCGTTTGTGAGTTTGAATCTATAACAAAAAATAAGAAAGTCCGGTCGATGTGCAAGCTGCTAAATACAAAACAAAAAACATTGAGAAGAATTTTGTTTCCTCTTTGCTCTTTACTGTTCGCTGTTTTATTTAGCGATGGGAGAAAAGGAGGAAAAGAAAACTCCAAAAATTAGTATATAACTGAGCTCACCTCATGTAAAAAAAAAACAAACATCTTTCTTCAAATAGACTCTCTTGATTGGCGATTGGTGATAAGTAGTATTGTATCGTGTATTGGTGGTCTTAAGGGTGTCCTCCATAAGGGGGTCCTAATAGAGATCAAAATATTAGGAAGTGGTTCTTTAACTTTTTGAAGGACCCTCCCTCATCCCAGAAATTTGCAAATGAACGAAACTTCCGAGCCACCTAGCAGAAGACCCCCTACTTAGGATCTTGCTAGGCTTCGTTTAACAACAAGAGACACGATACATAATTCCATCTTATTTCAATTTTCCAGGGTAGCGTAACTGTTGGCAGCAATAAACTATTTTCTGAACTTGTCCTAGATTTTACCGTGAAAAAGCATTACTCCGAAAAAACTATCCAGGGCTGCGGCCTTTCTAGGCAAAGCATTAGCTAATCATAAAATTAACAAACTTTGAAATGAAATAGCAGAGAACTTGGTGTTCTGAAGACATTGATTATTAACATTTACAAATTAGGATAAAAAACTGATAAAAAATTTGCAAAATCCTATAAAAATTTGAGAAATGATATCTTAGTATGACGAAGAGTGAATAACTGACCGATTAAGAACAACAGAAGCATGAACTACACAACCAGAGAGAAAACTGAAAACTTGAATTCTTTGAAAAAAAATTGATAAAAACAAACACATAGATCAAACGCGACAAAATTGTTGTTCAACAAACTCAGTAGAGCATTTAGCATTTGTTGAAACTTTGAATGAGTCACCATCAAAATGTCTAAACATCGGGACAAATGTTTTCTCGATTTTTCTAATAAATTCAAGTGAGCTTTATTAGGAAAAAGTCGAATTTCATTTAAGTTAAATGAGCACCTGGAAAAGAACAAAACTAGTTTGTAGGAGTCAGAGATTGAAAAGACAAAAAACAGGGCACTCATTAGTACTTATGGCTGTCAAACTGCAACAACTTAACAAATTTTTCCTCTTATCTGAGCCTCCCGCATTATAAGTCCAGATAAGTAAATATGAAAGACCAACTGATGAAAATTGAATAACAAATACCAAGTTTGCGTTGCTTGAAAATAACCTTGATAAACAAGCATTCCTGCTAGTTTGCTTATTAAAACCTTGATAAACAAGCATTCCTGCTAGTTTGCTTATTAAAACCTTGATAAACAAGCATTCCTGCTAGTTTGCTTATGATTTAAGAAAAATGCATTTAAATAATTGAACTCAACTTTCGAAACTAGAAGGTTGATCACTTTTTTCGTTATCTTCTCACTTTTGCGGTTTGATAACGGAGTTCGTCTACCTTTATTCAAACGTATCAAAACAAGTGTAACGTGAAACCGCAAAAAAAATCAAACTTGAGCGTCAATCAATAATTTCCTGAAAAAAATCAGCAAGGCACGGCTCCTGTTTGAAGATATTGAACTTGATTTTTTAAAAAAGTTTACAAGTTTTTGAACAATTTCTGCTGACCAGGCCTAGTTTAAAACCGAAGGTATGACTTGGTCAAAAAAGAGAAGAGATATCTACAGTAAAATTAGAGGCTGCTGAACGCAATCTTGGACAATTTTGGCTAACCAATGAGTAACAAAAAAACGTGGAGAAACAAAACAGTGATGATGATGATAAAACGCAAAAAAAAATAAAAAACGTAAATTTTTGAGGAAACAAACGTCAGCTTTCAGAAATCACTAGAACTCAAATAATTGCTTGAATCTCGCATAACATCAGAACAATTCAATTTCTTTATTTAATCGGCCAGTGAAGAGTCAATCGATTTTAAACATTCTTCAGCTAAATCGGGCAAAAAACTTAATGTCAAACATTTTCGACACGGACATTTTTCCAACTTTATCATTTCAGCTCGAATCACGAGTAAAAGGTCTTTACTAGGGCATATCAATTAAGTTTTGCACGACGTTTTTCTGGGAGCTTATTTACTGTTTAAAAAACACGACTCCGAAGGTCCTCCAGTTGGGCTGTCGGAAGAACAATTTTACTCTGGTAAATGCGGTGGGAAACTACTTCGATAATTCCAATTAAGTCACAAACATAAACCAAAACTGATAATTCTTTTGGCAGATTAAAGCAGTCCAAAAATATTTCCATTCCTTACGGGAGACAAATAAAAATCAATCATAACACTTTTTTCGCTCCATTTGCACTTCTGCAATTCGAGAGCGCGAATTCGCTTTCCAGTTGATAATTAAATTTGAAGTGAGCTTATATATATATAAATCAAATTTTTACCGCAAAAACAAATAAATTTGAGGGTGAAAAGCTTTAAGACTTGCTAAAGAAAAAACGTAAGACCTTCATAAGTGAAAATCCAATTTGCCCGCCCATTGACACTTGAAAAATGTTTATCCAACAGCCAAAAATACATAGCAGTTGTCCACTTTAAAACGATGAAACAAAGGGATGTGGGAAAATGATGAAGCTGAAAATTATTGGTCATCTTATAGACAATTCCATGGCTCGCAGAAACTACAAACGAAGGGTATCAATGAGAAAAACAATTGAGGGACATCAACTTTCTATACCCATGACTGAATGAAACCATTCTAGACTTACCAAATCTTCCGAGGAACCAGCATCTGTAGGTTGGAGGCTGCCCAATTCTTGTTTTGAAGCAGAGCTCGTAGATGCCACACCATACATCCGTCTCAACTCCGTCCAGAAAGATCTGGCCCATGAGCCAGCCATTTCCAAAGGACAGACCAATCAACGCAAATGTTAACAGTTCCACAAAAAAGCATGCGAGTGACAGGCGCTGACTGGCCGAAAATGACCGAATCTTTCCCATGGTTTAAAATGCTGATATTAACTTCTGAAGTGTCGCCGAAAAATGATATGTTTTTGTGATATGATCAAACTTTGTTACCTCAAAACATCTGTTTTCTGAAAAGATAGACACAATGAGTTATGTTATGGTTGAGTTTGAGATATACGTAAATGCGAACAACAAAAATTGTAATGGTCGAAGTTAATCGTTGACGTGTTGAAACCGATATATGTACAAACCAAACCAGTTTATTCATAACTTTCTACAATTAAACGTTTCGATTTGCTGCTTCAAAAGAATCAACCACAAAACAGGCTTCGCACTTTTTCATCATCATATTGTTGTTTACACGCACGTGCCGGCCAAACGCAGCAATATTCGATTTTCGTAAAAACGTTCTAAAACTTCTATAACTTATTATTTAGAATATAACTCATCAAAACGCCATACCGTAGTCAAAAAATTTCTTCGTCCTAAATTTCAAACAAAATCCAGTTTTAAAAACTACCTGCAAAGTTAGAATAGACAACTCGCGTAACTTAAAAAACACGGCCTTTCGGCTAAATTCGTCGACGTTTTACAACTTCCGTGCACTGAAAACATGTCTTTGGCAGTGGACGGTGCTTATTACGAAGATGATGTTCCCATCCCCACCCACCATAAGAGCACCCGCAAAAGTAAGAAATCGCGAAAGGACAAAGAAGGAAAGGGCAAAGGCGATTTCTCAACTGCGAGGACAGGGGGCGCTGAACACTACCGGGAGTTCTCCCCCAATCCCATGCCTGACTTCATGATGAACCCTTTCGATCGACCCACTTCAGAGCAGGTATGATAAATGTTCGTATTTCACGGCGTTTTAAAAGAGCAGTCGGTTACTGTTCAAGTAGCTAAAAATTCTGACCAGTGTAATCATAGCAACAAGTTATGGGATACAAGCTTAAAACAAGTTGAATTTTTTTCATTTTTCGAAATTTTCCTCGATTTTTCCTTTAAACACGAACTGCAGAGAAATTGACGAGTGTTTCGACCATTAATACGCTAAACCACAAATAGCTTTTCCAGAACCCTGAATAAGTTTATCAATTTTTCAGCCCAATGAGTTGATTGATCGGATTGAATGACCAAATGATTGCACAAAAAAACATGCAGCACCTTTTTACGGATTACGTACTAAATGTACAGCCAGAAAGTTTTAATGCATTCAAGTTTTCGAGGAAGAGCTTTCTGGATTTTACAAATAGTACATAATCAATAGCTTTGTTTTGGTTAATCAGTCTCCAATACGGCCTGAAACAACATTAGTATTTACACATCAAACCACACAAACAAGCCTCAAACATTTCATTTGAACAAGCACGGTAGATGGAAAAATCTCGAGGAATTGTTTAATCTGCTTCTAAATGCGGCAGGTGGCTATACTACTAATGATTAGTTATCAAAAAAAAATTCTTGTATCTAACAGCTCAAAAAAAACAAACACAGCAAAGCAGTCCACTCGCATGGAATATTACTTAAAACAAGAACATTTTTTTAAATGAAAACTTTTAAAAATATCAACTAAAGCGAACCTACATAGTTAGAAATATCGTTTGCTAAGCTGCATTACTTACAACTTTTTCTACGCGATTTTTAGCAGTTGGTAATTTTGACCTCCTTAATAAAAACATTTTTGAGGAAACAATTATGGAGCGATGAAGATTAAGCAAAAAATTCTCGGAAGTTCGTTTTTTGCACACGAAAAATCAGAGAACAATTCCTCTCGGTCTACTAAACCGGATCCCAGATTCTACTACAACTACAAGCCAAGTGTTAGCCCTCGCAAATCATTCGCACCTCATTTGGTTAACTTCGGAAGCAACCAACCACCGAGTCCACCTGTAGAATATCCCTTGGATCCACCAGCTATAGAGAAAAATCGAAAACATGACTCATTAAGCGAAGCAGTGCGAAGCCTTCCGACGTTTAGTCAAAACGATTTGAACAAGAGTCTTAACTCCCTAAGTTATCCAACTCCAACTTTGCAAGATCAGAAACCATTAAGTAAATATGAGCGCAACGCAATCGTTTTCAAAAACGCCAACCGTAAGGCCGATTTATGAATTGGAATAGTTTATTGCCATGCAAATATACAAACTTGTTGTCAAGTAGAGCGAATAATTTTTAAATGAATTTTATTTGAATATTTCCATATTTGAACATTTCCATAACAAACAATCAGCAAACAAAAGAACCGTTTAAATGAAAACGTAAGAATATATTGTACGCTTAAGACGTAGTATTAAAATGATAGGCATGGCAATAAAGCCAAAATTGCGTTGTTCTGCAGTGAAAACCAGCGACAAAACCCGAAACAGTTTGTCCCATACATTTCAACCTGATGGGCGAACCGGAACTTCATCTACTCGTTCCAGCAATACCTCCTACACCAAAATACCTTCGCCATCGTTACATCACTATAACCACAATCCAGTAAACCACACAGGAACTAGATCGTCTGACTCTCAGAACCAAGAAGACTATCCTCCAAATATTAGTGTGCTACTAAGTGAGACTAAAAACATCAATTCGATTGCACAACAGAAGATGCTACTTAAACATTATACTCTTACCACACTGCATGGTAAGAGCAGCTCCACGCAGACGGCGACTGATAATGAATCCAATTCTGTACTCGATGGACCAATTTACTCAGTTGCTGGCGCTAGTTCTGGGTTCCAATATTCCAGGGATAAAATTGATGTTCCAGAAACAATCCCCGAAAGACCAGAAAACAAAGATGCGGGCCAAAATTACAGCAGAGGTAATAATACTGATCAGGTTGGAACCGATAGTGAAAAGACGGAAAGTGGTTCGAAGACTCGTTCCAAACAGGACACCGCCGTGCAAAATGGAGAAGTTGATACAGACAGCGCGAAGAAACACGTGAACAACATTTCCATTCAGACTGACCAAGACTATGAACAAACAAACACAAACAATGAGCGACAAAACTACATGACAGAAGAAGACACAGACTATGGTGCTGATAACGTAACGACAATAGAGGTATCTCGATTGGAGGGACCGACTTATCTGGTGGACGAGAAAGATCATCAGCCCCCTTCGGACAGAGCACCCAAGAAGATCAAACTCATCAAACGCATGTCTACTTTCAGCAGCGAAGATGTAAACCGACATATAGACACCCGACATTTCTTCCTCAAATCATTAGCAATCATTTATTCTGTATAGCATCAAAAATTATCAAGAGTTTTTGAGTAATCAATAGTGGCATTATCCTTTTCAGATCAGATAGCACTTTATTTTAGTTGTTATGGTAGATAGATAAGTCCTGATAACGTAAACAAATACTCTTACCATGATTTAAGAGTAACTATAAATACTCTGTGATATTGGTGTTTGAGTAGCCAATTTCATTAACTTTTCAGCTGACAGATCTGCACGTGTACATCGTGCCACCGGAGTACTGGGACGACACTCACAATTGCGCCTTCAACACAGTCATGAACTTCACTACTTCAGTCGGCTTTATCAGGTGAGACCCAATAAAACGACAATGGCTTCAAATTTCAGTGCTAGATGGTTCCAGATCTATTCGGAACAACTATCAATGAACCTAATACTTGATGTAAACCATTCTAACAAAAACATCAAGTTTGATACATGCCAACCGAGACAAAATCTTCCTAGTCTTACTATCTCCAACATGAACAAATAATTAAACAAAACCATCATACTCATGAATTGGGCACGCAAATATTACAATGATGCAATTAGGGTCTACCCCGAAACGAGACTGCTGGATCTTCGTGCAGTTTTGATAGACCAAGTGACCCAGTCGGGAGGCATCCTACCCCAGCAGTTCGTGTTCCTTAAGAGTGTTGGCCGTGCACTCACCCTAGTCAAAGACCAACAGGAGGGCCAGCTCAAAGTCAAAAACTTCCTTCCCCCTTTTGTAAGATCTCACTGGCAATTACTTCAAATAAGATCAACAAAACCTTTTGGTTTTCACGCCATCTCCAACGTGAAACTAAATTCAGTCCAGAAAACATAAATAATCGATTCCGTCTCAAGAGTTAATTTTGTTCGAAATTGACTGTTGAAAAGCGAACGCTAATAATTAATAACAAATCTGTAGTTTCGTAATTTTCTCAATAAAATGGAGCTAACAGCCTAAAATTTTGGAACGTAACAATAGAACGAAAAACAAAACTGAATATTCTGCATCTAAACGGAATATTTTAGGCCTACGCTCCTGAGCTTTTCTTGATGACGCGTGAGAGACTCATGGCTCCAGGTAGAAGAAACAAAAACCCGCGCAACATTCCTCCCTTAGCTCAGATTCCGCAACACAAGTACGTTCCCATGCACCACTCCCAACAGGCGGCAGCAGCCATGCATCACAATCAGGTGGGATACATGCCTCAAGGACAACCACACTATCCCCCTCCTAGTCACCAGTCTCAGTATCGTGGTGGGGGAGGGGCAACGGGCAGGGGATATCAGATGGACCAGTTTTATGGGGTGCCTCAACAGTCCATGAATCCAATGATGGGCGGTGATTACAACAGCCACTACCACCAAGGGCCCGATCAAAGTAACCTTAGAGGTCGACACTTTGCAGGAACACCCTCAATGGGTAACCAATACGGTCGACAACCAACAATGGGCTACCCGACAAACAGAACCGGATACAGAATGCAAAGTCAAAATGTGCAAGACAATCGTGTGTTCCCTCCTCAAAGCGAGTTTTTCCCGGGCTATGGTGGATATCAGCCAGCAAAAAGAGTTGGATACCCTATGGACTATGGACCGCCTATGAGTGCTAGTCCTCCCGAAACAGCTATGGGTCCGCAAGGTGCACTTTATGTAGACCCGGTTCCTTTGTCAATGCCACCAGGACAAGAGAACCATAATGGTCATATAGTACATGGTATGGACACAGCAGGGGGCATGGAAGATGGCTCTGAGTTTCAGAATGAAGAGGAAGACCGTCCAACTACAGCTAGTTCACAATCATCAGCTGGGTAAGTTTACAAAAACGTAAATACCCTCAATTTGATTTAGGTACTTTGAAACCAACCCAATGATCTTTCCCAGTCCTCGTTTTGCATTTGAATCTTGCACTTATTTTGTTCCTAAAAATTACAGGAAGAAAGCAAAATCCACTTCTCGTTCGCAACACAAAAAGAACGAGGAACAAATCGCACAAATGAAAGAGCTAAGGTGAGGCAAGGCATCTCTAGATTAAAACAAACTTTGTAACCTTAGCAACTGTTACCTTAGCTAGATTAGAAGTCACGATAGGTTTAAATGAAAACATCAAGTTCAAGCTTTTTAGCTGTAGCCTGGATTGAACTGCGCATTATATTTGAAAGCACGAAAACATTTCAGCAAAAATGCATGCATCAAGTTTTTTTTTTACAGTTATATGCAAAAAGGTAACGAATTTGACTGATTGTTATACAAAATTTCTATCCAACCAACCGATTTTGGTAAAAATGGGGTTTTAGAAAAATCAATGGCACTTTGTAATTCCTCTCAAAAAGTTTTGTTACACATTACAATTCGTTTTTTTCAAGAACTATAATTTAATCTAAAATCTCATTTGTTGCATCGAAACAGGAAACAGGAGGCGTCTTTGGAGGAGCGTGAGAAGCAGTTGGCCAAGCAGGAAAGGGAGCTAGAGAGAAAGAAAGAAGAGAAGGAGAGGAAGTTAGAGGAGAAGAGACGCAAAGTGGAGATGGAGCAGGAACAAGCACTTAGAGATCTGGAGAAACGACTGGCCGAACAACAAGTCAGTAACACGGCTTATGTAGATATCGTCCCATTGTCAATTCTTAACACCTATATGAAAATCCAGAACCATCGATCTCACTCAAACAATTCAAATCATAATCCAGTTCCCAAAATTTTTTTGACGGACAACTGACTCGAGAAAAAAAGGACCAATTGCTCAATATATAAGTTTCTGTTCCGCTGGAATTTAAAAAAAACATTTTTTTCTTTCCTATCAGACAGTTCAATTTAAGGCCGTTTTCATTATTGACTTAGGATAAAAATTGTGTTATTACAAAAACTTGACCAAAAACATCATACCTCGCAAACTAATGATTTGAGCAGTCAAATTTGGAGGCAAGATTCGCAATCCCTGGGAGTGTTCTGACAGCCCCCAACTACAGGGTTAGGAATTTCAAATAAAAAAAATTGAATTCAAGTTTTCTGAAATTTTTTTTGAAAAAATCACAAAAACGTCATAACTCAAAAACTACAAGATTTGAGCAGTCATATTAGGAAGCGAAATTCGCAAACCCTGAGATTACCCTGACAGAGCCTCACTATGAAGATGGTGGCTTCAAATTTCATGATATTTTGTATATCTAAATTCTTTGAACAATTTAAAAAAAAAGACAACAAACGTCTTATCTCGGGAGCATTTGAGCAGTTGCAATTGGACGCAAGAATTGCAAACTGAAACTCCTGAGAGTAACCCTCACATTACCCAACTACAAGGATGGGGATTTCAATTTTTTGGAATTTTAAAAATCTAAGTTTTCTGAGAAATCATAAGACACGTCACATTTCGATAATTACAAATATTTGAGCAGTGATATTTAGAGTTAAGATGCGCAATCCTTCTGAGTACTCTGAAAGCACCCAATTACAAGGCTGGGAATTTCAAGTTTCGTATTTTCTTTGTAATTTGAGTTTTCTGAAAATTTTTGAAAACATCTCGTCGTAGCTCTTACACTAACAGGATTTGGGAATTCATTGCTGGAGGCCCAAATCGTAACCCCTGGGGAACGCTAACAGCATCCGACTATTGGGATGCTTATTTTAAATTCGGTGAAATAAACACTGAATTCAAACTGGAAAATTGAAAAAAATCTTAACCATTGCAATATACGATAAAACCTAAACGTGACAAAATTCTTTTGTCAAACATGCAAAAATAATATGTTGAAAAACCTTAAATGTGGCGAGATAGTGAAGCTCACACTTAAATATATAATAGATAAGATATTCAAAAAATTCAAAATATTTAGCTTTTTGAAAATTAAATTGTCTGTCAACACCTTAAATTAAAACTCAAACCAAACAAGCAGAACCAGTTGTTCCGACCATCATGATTGAGTAGAAAAAACAAAAGAAAGAAATTGCCACACAAAAAAAACAAATGCCAGAATTAAAGCGTAAAAACGATCAAGTCATTCTCTTACCCCGATGATTCATACAAGCCCACGCAACAAAATCAAACCAGGCGGCGGACAAAACATATGCGCAAAAAAAGGATAGATGCCGTGATATATTTTTCAAATGATTGTAACCGGGAAGAATCATACATTCTATAAACTCAAGAAAAGACAAAAAGCATTACTTTGTTCGAAGAAAAAAATTCAACACAATTAAAAAATTTTAAAAAACTTTTAATGATCGTAAAAAGAATTTGTAAAAAATCAAATATCAAAAAAAATTCTGCTAAATTTCTTGGAACGCGATAACTATCGCTGCCCCATAATCATTATAGATTGAAATAGTTTTGAATGATATTGAAAAACCTTTAAATGAGAGGCAAACTCTTCGTTGTGGCAACTCAGTTGAATGAAAATGAGCAGGTAAACAATAGCCAGACAAATTTTCGTCAGGCGCAAAAACTCCTGTTTCAAAAGAACAGGTCCAGACAGCATTCGAAACCATGAACTTTTTCCGTCAATTTCGTTGTTATTGTTACTAATTTTAAGCAGGTGTAACACGTTCGAAGCGAAAGTTTGCACCAAAAAAAAACTCGGAACTAGGTAAAAACGCCTGTAATTCTTGCGCAGGCACCCATTGAGCCGAAAAAAATGTGCTTTTATAAGCAAACTTAGAAACTCAAAAAAGTTTTTAATTCTTCCTTCCAAACATTTAGATTCAAAAATTTCTTGCTCATCAAACGACCCAATATGGGACCAATCAGCCGATAGTGCAAGTCAAAAACCTTTTCAAAGTCAAATAGAAAGAAAAACTGAAAATTAAAACGAAAATAGAAACATAGCCAACAGACAGTTGGAAAAGAGCCAATGAACGCAAGTAAACAAAAAAAAACACTGACTTGTGTTTTGGAAAATTTTCCAATTTCAAAGAAAAAAATCTCAACTTTTCCAAGAAAAAAACTTTCCAATTTCAAAGAAAAAATCTTTCCATTTTCAAAGAAAAAATTATGATTATAAAATTAACGTTATTTGAGAAAACTCTATCAATAGCTAAAATTTTAATTTCGCTGGAAAATCTGAAAACTAATTTCCACTTTCGAAACTAGAAGTCGATCATAATTTTTTGTACTTTTATACTTTTGCTGTTTGGCAGAGGAGTTTGCCTTCTTTTTACCAAAAGAAATGTACTGAACTAGAGAAAAATCAAAGTGAAACCGCGAAAAAGTAAATTTGAGCTTGAACAAAATTCAAGACTTCCCAAAAAAAATCATCGCGAACTATCTAAAAGTAAGAACTACGTTCATCGACTCTTAAAAACTGAAAATGTCTTCTTGACGAAAAAAAAACATATATGGAGTGACTAATAACTTAAGTTCATGTGAACAAAGTTTTTTACGGGAAAAACGTCCAGTACCCGGTTCCAACACCCTTGCTTTTCGCAAGGGTAAATAAGGCTTGAAATCTTTTTTATTTTTTATTTCTTTAAAATCGTACGCAAAGATAGAACTTATTTCAGCGGAAGTTAGAGGACAGCAAATATCAAATGGAAAGAGAGTTGCAGGAGCAGAAAGATCGACAGGAGAAAGCGATGAACGACATGACAAGGAACATTGAAAGGTATAGACTTTTCTAGCGTTTTTAACTTCACTTTTGCGGACCAATAATCATCTAATAAATAGTTAATTATAGAATGAAACACGAAGCTGAAATGTAAGTATCAAGTGGTATCTTTTTCAAATCTTAGTTTTAGCCATATATTGAACAAATATTTCGTTGGACCTATAGTTTTTATCTGGATTGCATGATCTCTACGTTCGAACTCCAAAATTTCCTCTTCGGAAACAGCCTTTCCTCATTTAACCAAAAAAGCTACCGTGCTGAGCATGATTCTGGGTTCACGAAAATCATAATATAAAATTTGTCTTGAGCATGAGTTCATCTATTGCTCAAAACCGTCTTGGAAATTTCAAAAAACAATAATAGAAGGATTTGCACAAGTGTTCCTTTCAAAATGGGATTGGAATAATTAATAAAATTTCTTCAGAAGAGATGTACTCGATCTGGTGGTGTAGGAATTACTCATAAAGAAGGGATTACTAGCCTCATTAAATGAAGATTCTAAAAGACTTCAATAAACTTCCTTTCACCAAATCAAATATAAACTCATTCAGTTTAGAAAATCTGACTTGTATGGTATGTCTAAAAGCAGAAGATCAGTTAAGGTTTAAATTTTCTGTAGTTTTTTTAAAGATTTTTTTCCAAAAAACTACTGGAAAAATGTGAAACTTTAGAAAAAAAACAACCGCCTCATTAAAATACTTCTCGAACCATAAATACGTTTTATCGGTGAAAACCCAGAGCCCTCCGAAAACTTTTCAAAATTATAATTTAAAAATGATTCTATGTTTATTTATTTGTATTGGTTAGAGAGCTAGATTGCTCTAACTATATCGCATTGCTTAGGGAGCAGCAGCAGGAGGTGTTCAAACAGCAGAAGGAGATGGATGACTTGCTGAGGGAGAAAGAGAAAGCATTCAATGCCAAAAGACAGCAGATGGAGAAGGAAATAAGGGTGAGCTACAATTACACAGTTCACTCTCACCAGTGAAAAAAATGCAGAACAGTCAATTTTTGAAGTTAGCTTCCATGAGTTTAGAATTTATTCGATTCATATAGCCAAAATCCGTTCCGTATAGATATGTGCAACACGAAAACTAAATTGCATTATTTTTCCTTCCGAGCATGGAATACTTAGGGCATTGAAAACGGGATTTCCCAGTTATATGAGTAGCTAACAGTATAAGCACAGCTGACAGTCAGGTGAGCCATACGTAATCAAGTCATTAGTGTCACGGCAACTTCGATTTCACACAGGAAGTCGCCTGACATAATCAGGCTTGAAAAATGAACTGATTACTCAGTCGTTGCAAAAAGGTGATAGCAGTCTTTGATAGCTGAAATTGTATGAGATTTTGCAAGAAAAAGAAAACTTTGATAGCAATGTGTTCACTAGCAATTGCATAGTGTTTTTTATGTTCATCTTGCTAGCTCCAGTCACTGAAGGGCCCGGCTATACAATTGAGAGTCAAGGCAAAAAGTCAAAACTTAAACAATTTTCAAGAGCTATTTAAGACAATTGATTTCTTACCACAATGAATAATACTGGAAACTTTAACAATAGAATCTCTGGCTCCAAAACATTCAAAACACAACATTAAAATTATACCAACTCAAATGTCTTTGTGGGTTCATAAAGATATTCCCTAAAGCCAAACCAGCTAACTAGAGAATGTAAATTGTGTATTTCAGGAGCAAGAAGCGCAGCTACGGCAGAAATTGAGTGAAGAGGAAAGGAAGCTGGCTGACAAGGAGCGAGACATAGAGAGAGCCAAGATGGAGTTGGAAAAACAACAACTGGAAAAAGAGAAGGACTCCATGCAGAAGGTACAGTCACTAGCTTTCCGTTAACACAAAAAAATCAACGGCATTCAAATTGGTGTTCACTATCTTCAAAGAGGAACTGAAGTAGTTCCTATAGCACCAATGTGAAAAAAATGACGAAGTAGAATAAGCAATCTGAACTTAAAAAAGGTGGTTATTTTTTAGAAGCGAAACATTTGTTGGTCCTGGTGTATTCATAGTGTGACAACCTTTTATATTTATAGGCTCATAAAAATATATAACCATACATTTTATCTGAGCTTATAATTGGTTGAAAAAGCTCAGACAGATAAAAATGAATAATTGAGAAGTAATCGATCAATTTCGAAAAACGCTGCACGCGAAGGCTACTTCTTCAGGCAAATCTCAATTTTGAAGATTGTGCAGAGCATTTAATGTGAATGGACGATTTAATCAAGATAGGCGAATTGCTTTTTGATTGATTGTGCCAGTCTGTATGAACTTTTTGCGAATCTCTAAACAAAATTATCAACAAGTAAAAATTCTATCTGTCTTATAGGTCATTTTTAACAAGTTATGTAGATGCACACAAAGTATACAAATTTGTATCTCAGCATTCGTTTGTTTTTCCGGCTTTCGAAAAGAAAGTGACCGCCCCTTCGTGCTCGGTATGATTTTTATTTCTTCAGACAAATTTCGATTCGAGTCTTTTTTGATGGATTTTTCATATCACCTGTAAGCTATTGACGTCTTCTGCTTAAACTTAAAAAGCATTTACCTGCAATCTTTTTCGTACAGTTAAGGGAATTTAAGAATTGCCAATTGATGACAATTACTGCGCCCTATTTTTCGTGCTATTGACTTGTTCGCGGCAATTTAAACAGCTAAAGAAGTTGTTCCAAAAAGGCAAAAGTTGGTTCAAATCAAAACTGCGCAAAAATCAGACTTTCTTAATAACAAGCAAATCAAACAAAACGGTTAACTTCCCAAACAACATGCTAGAAAGCAATGAAAAATCAGTTGTTGACAAAAAAAAACAAAAAAATTATATTTAGACGAACGAACACTAGAACACTATATTACCTGCACCAAAAAGAACTTAACAAACACAGCTGTTCGCACAACAAAAAGGAACAAAGGTTTAGACCAAATGTGTTAAATGAGCTAAGACAAAAAACATACTTCAGGACAAAATTTTTCAGGTTTTTTTTTTCGTTTCATCACGGGTCTGTGAGGTTGAATTAGACTTTTTCAAAATTCTTCGAAAAGTTCTAAAATAATACCAACGAAAAAAAAAGGAAACTAAGCCGACATAATTAAAGCCGACCGACCTCAAGCGCAGAAAATCGTTGAAACCAAAAAATACTCAGCAAGAACATTTAAATTACACCCAAGGCACATATGCAACCAATACACTAACGATGCTATTACATCAGCAGTTGATATTTTGTATTACACTTATTCCCATTTTGACCATTCTGTGAACTGAGTCTTGTACGGGAAAAAAATTTAGTACCCGATTGTAATACCTTGCTTATCGCTAAGGTAAATACATCACTTTGTGGTTTACATAGTTTCTGGGCTAAAAAATTTCAGAAAATATGATTATCTAATGATCAACATTTTTTAAATCAAAATTATTCCAGAAATTAAAGGGTAGTTGGAACATTTAGGGCTTCGCCGCAATAGGAGAAGCCTCGTTGTTTCTTATGTTCAATTATCCATCTCAGCATTCTTTTTAGTTTGATCATGTGGAATGAAAATGTTTCAGCAAAACTTCATCCAAAAAGCAAAAATGGTACGAGCTCTCCAACGCTAAACTGGCTGAAAATCTGAATGTAACGAATTCATTTTCTAATTAAACATTCTCTTTAAAAATTTTCTTTTCTGCCAAAAACTACTCATCAACGAGTCACTAACACGGGGAAATATTATTTCCCCGCAAACTATTTACTAAAACTCCAGACAATATTCTTGATTTCAATGACTCTACTAATTTTTCCAGGAGATGAAGAGAGAAAAAGCGCGACTTGCCAAGGAGGAAAAAGAGCAACTTAAGACGGAGAGAGAAAATGCCATCAGTCGACAAGGACAAGTAAAATAAGAAAATCGTACCTTGACATTTTTCAGAACTAATCAAGAAAACCGTGCTCAAGAACATTTTTGCTGTAAAAATGATGTCTTCGGAACTTTTTCAACTGACTTGACATGAGCCATGTCCCAACAAAATGACTCTAATCCAAAACCTTTTCATCAATTCCATAATGAAAAATAAAACATTTAATTCAAACTTGACCATTTATTCCAATAATAGCGAGTATAACTTCCTGTTTAGATGAACGCAGAAGGTGACACCTCTAGACCGGGAAGTAGTCCCCCAAAAATGAAGTTTCCGAGGGCTAAGACGCCCGATCTATTAGAAGAATGTACGCATGTTTACATTTCCCACTATTGTCTATCCAATACTCGTATAATGCCAATTCAACCCTTTTCTGTCAGACCCTTTCTATTTGTTGCTAGTTTTTAAACATTGCATGCGAACCGGAAACAATAAAACACAATACTTCAAAAAACAACGAGGCCATTAAGCAAAGATTAGTAAATTCACAAGTTTGAGCTTCCCTAGAGGTTGTTTAAATATATTGGGAATTAGCGGCAAGTGCGGGATTTTTTAAAAAAATTTTAAGCTATTGTGCCTAAATATGATATTGTAGGAATCTACATAAGAAATCTATGCAAAAACCTCAGCAGCCATAACCCCCTTGCATATCAATAAAACTACACTATGAAACAACACTTCTATGAAACTATCATTAAATGCTACAACTTAAACTCATCTCAATGATAGCGTGTTTCAGTCCAGAAGAAACTCCAGGAACTGGCAAGGATAAAAGAGGAGCGTAAAGAGATAGAGTTGGTACAGGAGGACCTCGTCAGGAAAGCACTCAGTGTCCAGGTCAAGGCCACTCAGAAGAGGGCTCAAGGTTATATTAATCAGACGTCTAAGCGCCAATAATATAAAGCTAGGTTAACTTGTCGAATCTAAATTTAGCTGCTATGATGAACCACGTCGTAGTTGTGAGCGCAACAAAATCTGAATCGAGTTGCATAAAGCGATCTTTGCCCGGCAAAATAAGTCATCGATTATGCCTTAGCAGGCTAACAGTCCTTGATAGATCAACTGCGAATCGCGAAAGCTTCTTTTTAATTATAGATTAGAATATCGAGCCTTTCGTTCTCAAAATCAAAGATCATTTTTTTGAGCTTTCAAGTGTTTAGCACGTGACAACTGGAAGAAGCAGTACTTTGAAGAGAAGCGCAAGACAGCACCCCTGGAGGAACACGCTACTAAGTTGAGACGGGAGGTTGACAACCTGAACAGACGTGTGATCACGCGGTTGGAAAAGGAAGCAGATGCACAGCAGGACCACAATCAACAGCTATCAGTAAGTGAATAGCAATCAAATACTGAATTATCAAGAACATGTATATCAGCATTCCAAGTCAGGGGAACGCCCGTTGGTTCGCCAGCCTACAAAAACAGAGAAAAATGCACCTTATTCTCAATAAGGAGCAGAACAGCTGTTGTATGTAAAGCGCTGAACAGCTCGCATGCAGGAGTTTTCCCTCGTGTGGTCTCAACTTGAAACCAATTTGACGAACAATAAGGATATTACCGTGCTGCGCTAAGGATATCAGATTTTATAAATTTACCATCTTTTGTGCACAATGGAGTCTTAACACGTTGGCAGCCATGGTAAAATTATCAGATAATTATTAGAGAAGCACAATAATGTCACAGTTAATCAACATATTATCAACACAGTATCAAAATATAGAGCAGCTATGAGAAACCAAATACCAGTCGCATGTCGTGAGTTTTCAGAAAAACAGAGGGATGATGGTGGCAGGTAATTAGCACGTAACATCAATTCTATGCTAACATGTCCTTGCCCTTTTCCCTTTAATTTTTCATCAATGGTCTATTATTTATTTCAGTCGCAGCACAAGATAGTGTTCATGAAGTTACAGTTTGAGTTGGAGGATACTAAACAGAGGATAGAAGAGATGCAACTCAAGCTACTCGGAGAAGTCAAGGTGAGAAACTATTTTTTCACTAACATTTCCACTAGAACAGTCAAAGCGAAACACATTCCATAAAACAAGGATAGCCGATTGTTCTCTTTCCACAAAACAATGATAGCCGAAGTGTTGTTTTCTTTTGCACGTGGTGTGATGAAAGGCTCTTAAAACCTAAAATTTAGGCATATGTTGTTCCAAAAATGGCAGTAAAAACCTTCAAAAAGGTCTTTACTGGAGTGAAATTAAAATTCCATGGCTTATCCATTTATAATAAGCCTGCTCGCATTCTTTACTTGATCGAAATTAGATTAAAACTCAAAAATTTCAAACCGATTTTTTGACACTGGGTCAATATGAACAAGAACAAGAACACTGGAACAAGAAGTAGTGCCTAAATAAAGAAAGCTTGATGATGATGAATTTTTCAAATTCGTTCTATGTCGTTCGAATCGCGACTAAAAGGGCTTTAATATGATATATCACTCGACCCATTCCGATGATTTTTTGTTACCTGATTTTGCATGGTGCCTGAAATGCCGGAATACAAAGTTTTCATTGGTCGTAGCAACATGTATCAAAGAACAAGCTAAAATGAAATTTTCCTAGAAGCGATTATGAAAGCGTATCTCAGAAATCAGGTAGCAACATAGATTAACACAGAAGCGAAGTTGCACTTCGCATACACAAGCGAAAATATGACCGATAACGCTACTGGGGAAAAATTGAATGAGTAAAACTTTGAGTCTACAAAATTTCTTAAGAGACGCACGCCAATAATGAGTCTACATAATTGCTAAGTGACGCAAGCCAATTAAGACGCATTAGCAGTACCAGTCAAACATGCCTCAAATTATAGAGCGGACCCATTTAAACTAGTATACGAAGCAGTTCATTAAAAACATCCGACCCTGCCCAGGTTCTAACCTTCTTATTTTGCTCCTGGTCTCCTTCCCTACCTCTACGCTACAGATACATGATGCCTTGAAGCTAAAGTGCTATGTGTAATATAATAGTCTGTGTTAATATCCTTAGCATTGGCTGTACTTAATAGCTGGATCAAAATGAACACTTTCAAAATGAACACCTTTTGTCGCAACAATTTTTGCGACTTAGGTTGGAAAAAAGAAAGTTTATACTATAACACAAGCTACGCTTGTGTAAACATAGCCAACAGACAGTTCGAAAAGAGACAATGAACGCAAGAGTCAACGAAAGAAAAAAATACTGACACTTCGCATTTCTGAGAAAAAAATAGATGACACTGAAGTTCTTTGAATTTCTAGAACAGTTCTTGATTGACAATTTTTAGATATAACTGACCAAATTTAACAAAAAGTGATCAATAAGCAAAAGTTTTATTTCACTGGAAAATTTGAAGATTAAATTCCACTGCCGAATCCAGAAGTGGAACCACCTTTTTTGTGACCTTCACTCTTTTGCTGTTCGATAGTGGAATTTGCCTTCCTTTTGACAAAAGAAATGAATTAGCTTGAAGAGAAATCAAAAATCAAACCTCGAAAAAGTAAGTCTGAGCCTTAAAAAACACTAAGACTTTTCCTGAAAAAAACATTATCGCGACCTATAAAAGAGTCTGAACTACGTTCATCGACTGCCAAAAAAAATTATTATACCATTAAGTAAATCCCAACAAAACCGTACACTTATTTCTTTATAGAACGAGCAACACAAAAAATCCGCTATACGACTAAGCTAAACAGCTCCATGAGCACGTTGGTATCGAAACTCAATCTTATCAAAATGTTTTTATATACTTTCAGAGGCGACTTCAATGTTCACGAGAGACTCGTTGTCTCCACAGAGAGTTAAAACAGACTAGAGTAACTGCTAACTTAATGCCACCTAACTCTCTGTCGACGCCTAATGACAATGAGGCTAATACCAATTAGAGCTTATTTCACAGGGTAAATCAACAACTAAAACGTGCTCTAAATCAAAGCTAACACCGATTCTGAAATTATTCTTTCTTAACCGGATTGTGAAAAAAATACTTCCTCAAAGAAACCGATGAAATAACTCAGCTGTGCTATGAAAAGTCAAGAAAAATTTTAGTCTCCTGTAATAGCTATCTCCTGAGAAAAGCAAAAATAATGACAAGCAAATTATGTTTTTCGAACGTATCGCTTCATTTTTGAGGCCACAATACTTATATAATTACATCTACATCCTGTTTGAAAACGGGCTAGTATCAGCTCAACTCTGCGAGCAAGGTCATTAAAGCAGATTCTGTTTTAGATGAGACGCTGGACTGAATGGGAAAGCAGCATAATCCGAAACCAACTGCAGCTACAGAAAAACGGAGCGAAATAATTTTAAAGCAGAGTCTTCTGTTACCAGAAAAACACTATGCTGAAGCTTTAAGTTTAGCCTTCTTAGCCTACATTGTTTTGAAAATTTACTTTTCCAAATTACAAACTAAATTAAAGCTTTTGTTTTGGACTTAATTCCTCGAATATAGCCAACAACCAGATGAAAAACATTCAAACAACTTAAAAAAATAAATAACGACGTCCTATTTTTTTAAAGAAGAAAGGATAGCCGGTTGCTATGCCAGTAGTATAAGGTTTTGATCAAATTAATTTTAAAAATCTTTAAAAAAATCTAGTGTATTATATCTCATTAACAGGTAGTTGTTTCATTGTTAATTCAACTTATAAAATTTAAAATAGCCAACAGACAGTTGGAAAAGTTTGGAAAAAAGTCATGAACGCTAAGAAACAGAAAAAAACTTTAAAATAGCCAACAGACAGTTGGAAAAGTTTGAAAAAAAGTCATGAACGCTAAGAAACAGAAAGTGTTTTTTTTTAAACTTCAACTTCCAAACCTTAAAGAAAGGAGCCAATAGACAGTTGAAAAGAGTCGAAGAACGCAAGTTAACTTTCGTACCTTCAAAAAAGAACCTTCGAAACTTTCAAATCTCCGAGAAAAAAGAAGGCCTTAAATCTCTGTAATTACAGAACAATTTATGATTGACTTTTCTGGATAAAATTAACTTAATTAAAGAACACTGAATCAATATTTATTTATTTTTCGCTGGGAAAATTGATATGTAAATTTCATTTTCGAAATAAGAAGTCGAACTTGATTTTCGTGATCTTTCTGTTTGAAAATGGAGTTTGCCTTCTTCTACGCAAATGAAATGAAATTAAGAAGCAATCAGAAAGTCAAGCCGCGAAAAAAAAATCAACATTTAGCGTGAACAAATTTTAAGACTTTTTGCTGAAAAAAAAACAAACAAATCACCCACAAAGACCTAAATAAGAGTATTCACTCTGCTCATAACTCTTAAACAATTAAATTATCAAGAAGTCAAGCGCAAAAAGAAGAATTTTTAACCCATTTTTATTGAGACTGACACTTCCCTTCAAAATGCCACACGTCTAGTTGAACAAAAAATTGGAAAAGCTGCAATGAAAAAAACGCTTGTCTACAATGGAAACTGCTAGCAGCTGGAAAAAATCCAATTTCAAACGCTAAAAGAAGCAAGGTCCCACTGAAATTAAAAACCCAGACCATAGGGGCAAACCACGTTACCTCCAGGTCAAGTGAGAAGAAGCCTGGAAGTTGCTAAGAACCGACGATAAAGCAACTTCATTTTCAACGTGTAAGAAAAACTGTATACAGGAAAAGTTCCCAATTTAAGTCTAGTTCCCAATTAGGATACACTTGATCTGATCATTAAATTCCATTTTTAAAAATAGAAGGCAATCACTTTTTGTGACCTATACACTTCGCATGTTCGATAGGAAAACAAAGGAAATTAACTGAACCAAAAAAATTGAAAGTCAAACCGCGAAAACCAGTGTGAACAAATCCTTAAAAGCAAATCCTAAAATATTCCTGAAAAAACTGACGTGTTTTCTGAACAAATTTAAAACAGTTTCTAATAAATGTATGGCCTTTATAACTTATGACTGACACTATTTAAACCAAGTTGTGAAAAGTGGATCAATAGTTTTTTATTCCGCAGTGAAATCTTAAATTTTGTCCCTGTATGAAACAAATTCATTCTCATTTTTTGCGCCGTTTCGTAACTGGACAGCGCAATGTACCCTCCTTTTAGTTATTTAAGTGGAATTGAACTTTCAAAACATCAAAAATGAAACAGCAGAAGATCAAATTTGAGCGTGATTTTTTCGGAATAAATCAGTTCACTAGGTTCCTTAACAGCTGAAATGAAAAAGAACAACAATTATTTTCTGTAGCCATGAATGAAATACTGCAGTATAAGTGTTATCGTTATTGGCGCTAATTAACATTCCAGTTATCAATCGAAAAACAATGTAGCGTAACTAAAAACTGTCTGTAGAGCCAGTCCATGTAAGAACTCAGAATTAAGCCTTATCTTCTTTTGGTGAAAATATTCGAAGTTGATATAATCTTCTTGAACTTTACTTGCTTTCGTTCAAATCAAACGTCACTTGGCTCAATTTATGTTTTAAACTGATTGTTGACTGAAAGGCGGCTAATACTGATTTCTGATTGGTCATGTAGGGATACGTGACAGACCAGTTTATAGCAAAAAAAAACATCTCTATGCAAAAATCGGCTCAAAAGGTTTATTTAATTAAAATAGATTGTTTGCCGGATAGTACAAAACATGCAAATAAAGCTCGCAAAATTGCAGCAATAAATAATTGAAATCATAAAAAAAGCATTTAATTATTGAAATTACAAAGATCAGTTCAAGTTGGGTTAGAATGAAACCCCATTTTCCAGAAAAAAAATGTTTCAACAGGTGCAGCATGATAAACATGAGCTATATAGAACTATAATTATCAAATTAATATTGCACACTAGAAAACTCTAGCTGAGGAAAATTACTGCACCGTTTTTACCTACTTAACGACTTGGATTTCAGGGACGCAAAGTGAGTTGCAATAAGGTCGTCAGCAGCATGCATTGAACAAACACAATTGATGGTCGAATTAATATGATGATAGATTGATGACAAATATGATTCATCGGCCAAATTGACCTCGGCTTAACCCAATCACTTAACGTGACCGGGAGTAAATTACAGCAATTGATTGAGCAGAAAGCATTCAAATTTACTAACTATGAACACTTCAATAATATTGAATAGCAGCAAGGCATTCAATCACAGCTAATTCAAATGACTATACCAGAACGAAACTTGCATATTTTTTATTTGTTGGAAGAAGTCTTGGCTCCAAGCGAACTCGCCATACCTCCACCCAGCGCACTCCTGTTATAACTGGACGCGTAGTTCATACTGGAGGGATACCCACTTCCCATTGGCTTTGTGTTGGGGATAGGAGGGGGTGCTGTGTTCGGGGGAGCAGGGGCTGCAGTTGCACTGGATCCGCCAGTACCCCCTACAGATCCCACCGAGGCTAGACTGCTGGTGCTTCTCTTCGCATCTTCCACTTCTTGCTGCATCTTGGCCAACTTCTCTTGCATTCTTTTAAGCTGGAACAAACGAAATAGTCCATATACTCTAGCTTTATTTCACTGACCTTTTGTTTGTTCGTCATAACATAAGATTTTCTACATAAATCAAGAACATAGCCAACAGACATTTGGAAAGAGTCAATGAATGCAAGTTAACAAATGATTAAGTAATTTGAAAAATTCTCCGCTTTCGATTTTCAAAGAAAAAATATATTCCCTTAAAGCTCTTTAAATTTCTATAACCACTATGATTGGCACTTTTTGATAAAAAAATAACCCAACTAGAAAAAACTGGACTAATAAAAACAAATTTTATTTACTGAGAAATCTGAAAACTGAATTTCACTTTCGATTCTAGGAGTCGATCATGTTTTTTGTGATCTTTACATTTTTGCTGTTCCAATTTTCCTTCCTTTTAACAAATGAAATGAATTGAACTTCAAAATAAACCAAAACTAAATTTGAGCCTGAACAAATTTAAGTTTTTTCCTGAAAAAAATCATCGGGACCTATATAAGCGTCTGAACTACGTTCATCGAATCTTAAAAACATAGCCAACTGACAGTTGCAAAGTAATGACCTCACTGGAGAAAACTCAGCCAGATAGTTTGGAAAATAGTCAAGGAACGCAATTAGACAAAACCAAAACACCGACATGTTTTTAAAGAATCTCTTCTTTCGAATAAAAGAAAATAAAAGCTCTTTGATATTCTAGGAAAATTTATGATTGGCAATTTTTCAATAAATTTGACCCTATTTGAGAAAACTGGATTATTAGGTAATATTTTATAATTCGCTGGGAAATACGAAAGTTAAATTCCACTTTCGAAACTAGAAGTCGATCACGTATTTCGTGACCTTTACACTTTTGCTGTATGATAGTGGAGCTAGCCTTCCTTTTAGCAAAGGAAATGAACTGAAATTAAAAAGAACTCAAAAGTCAAAACGGAAAAAAGTAAACTTGAGCCTAAAATTTTTTAAGTGTTCCTGAAAAAAAAACGAAAAAAGAAGACATTGCGAACTATTCACAGATGCGAAGCTGCGCTTCGCAAACGATTAAAATGAAGAAAAAAAGCTCTAAACAGGCCGAACAAATTAAAGTAAAGAAAAAACTAAAAATACACCTGGAAAATTTTTTTGTTGAGAGCAGAAATATCACGCTCTCATATCTGCTCCACGACTGCTTGTAAAACTACTAACTCTAGCCACCAATATAGCAGCTACAGTTTCTATCGAATTGCCAAGGTTATGCAGCAAAATTTCCAACACAACAGAACAAAACTATTAAATGTTCCGGATTTCAATATCCGACCTGTTGACTAGGAGACTCACGTCTTCGCATCTGCGCCACGGTCACTTGAAAGTAAGCTAGTGGCCCAGCTAATGCTGGATCTTCATGTTCTAGAATTTTGCATCATATATTGTACTGATACGGAAATGCGTAATTTTCAAAATTTCAAAAAATGGACTTTACGCTAAACCCAAGTGTTTCTCTGCTGAAGCGGGGATTAGCCGCTTATTTAAAGGAAAAATCTACAGCTCGTTCTTTCAATTGTAGTATTTATTTTAGATTTCGCTGGGTAGTTTTCGAAAAAAAAGTAAAAACCAATTAAAAATCAAAAACAAGACTTTTCCTAAAACCATAAACGTTTATCCGCTAAAGCATGGGAATGGCTTCTGCTTTCTAAGCCCTGCAATTTAGATTGGAAATTTCCGCATCCCGACTTTTTCGATTGAACCCTTGATATTAAATTGCATTTTCGAAATTAAAGTCGATAAAACTTTTTTGTGACCTTCACATTTCTGCTGTTCGATAGTAGACTTTGCCTTCATTTCAACAAAGAAAACATAGCCAACTGAGTTGGAAAAGAGTCATGAACGCCAGGAAACTGAAAAACAAAATAGACATGTTTTTTTTTCTCAAAAATCTTCAACTTTTGAATTTCGAAGAAAAAAATAGATCGCCTCAAAGCTCTTCGAATTTGTAGACGAATTTATGATGAACACTTTTTCGTTAAAATTAACCCAATTTGAGAAAACTGGATCAATAGTTATAACTTTTATTTCGTTGGGAAATCTGATCATTAATTTCCATTTTCAAAATTAGAAGTCGATCACGTTTATTCGTGACCTTTACAATTTTGGTGTTCGATAGTGGAATTTGCTTTTCTTTTAACAATAGAAATGCACTGAACTTAAAAAGAAATCACAGGACAAGTCAACCCGCGAAAAATCAAAACTGCGCGTGAACAAATTTAAAGAGTTTTTCCTGAAAAATTACGAAAAAAAATCACTTGGACCTATATAAGAGTATTTACTCAGTACGCTCATTATTCTTTTAGTATTGCTTAGCAGGCATCAAGTAGTCCTGCAAGTATTTTCATTTTGCCTTCAATAATATTTATTCTGCAAATGAAAAAGTTGGGGGAAAACATAATCAGAAAACCTATCTGAAAATCAGGACGTAATGTGATGGTGATTCGAAAGAAGATTCAAAGTTTCATTTATGGTTATTGTTTTTATTCGAGACATCTGAGAAAAATCAATTAAGACATACCTCATTTTCCTTCTCCACAAGCATCTTGTCCTTCTCTGCTAGTTTCTTTTCGTCTTGGGAGAATCTAACAACACAAAAACTGATAAGTGAAAAAGAATTGTAAGTCAAATTATTACATATAACAGAAAACGAAGATAGGTTGTAGCGGCGCAGCCTTCAAAATTTGAATTTAAAATGCAAAATAAAAATTTCATAAGTCAATTCAGTTTTATCATAGAATACCGTTTTACCGAGTGATGAATGCGCGCATGCGAATATTTTTTATTCAAGGACAAAGAGAACTTAAATACATCATGCGAAGTTATAAAGTTTGATATGCTGGCATGGCAGTAAATGAATTTTAAAATCTTATTCGCAAAACAGAAATATCCAAGAGCAAATTAACATAAATAAAGAAATGAAAATCATGAATAAGCATTAAGGGCGGCTCCAAAATTTTCACCGTGAGACGTTTTTTGAAAAAAAACAAAACGTGAAAACCAATTCGTGTATCCAGTGATGATTTAAATTAACCGGACAAAACGCGGTAAACTTGAAATTTAAAACCCCGTTTTTCTCAAATTGGGTTGAGTTTAGGTGAAAACTTATGAAGACAAAACTTGCTTAAAACTTTGGCAGAATTAATATGGTATAATTTATTTTGCGAAATTCGGGCCCGAAATTTTACCCCAAAAATGGGTCATTTTGGCTTTTCTTAGTTAATCAAAAATTACGCCAAAAATACCCCGTCGATCACAGACATAATTATATCAAAGAACGCCTTACGTAGTCCAACAAACTTTAAGAAGGGTATTTTCTCAAAAAAGAATTGCAAATTGTTCAAAAATTGTTTTTAAATAAAAAGTTAGTATTTTATATAGTAAAAACGACCTTTTTTGTCTATCAAACAAAAACTAATTAACTTATACAATGTTTTGGAGATTATACCCTATTTAAAGTTTGTTGGGCTACGTAAGGGGCTCACTTTGATATAATCATGTCTGTGATCGACTGGGTTATTTCAGCGTAATTTTTGATAAACTAAGAAAAGCCAAATTGACCCATTTTTGGGGTAAAATTTCGAGCCCGAATTTCGCAAATTAAATTACACCATATTAATTCTGCTAAAATTTTAAGCAAGTTTTGTCTTCATAAATTTTCACCTAAACTCAACCCAATTTGAGAAAAACGGGTTTTAAATTTCAAGTTTAACGCGTTTTGTCCGGTTAATTTAAATCAGCACTGTAGTCCTCAATCTTTAATCGATTTTTAGAGCTCTATTACACTCTCCACCCCTATTTTGCTTTCATGTTCCAGACGTTTTTATTTCAAAGTATCATTCTTAAGTTATTTAACTTAATTGACCAAAAATTTTTGACACTTTCTCCCTTTTTGAAGTTTTTAAAATCGCCGCGACAGATAAATTTCCCGGGTAATATTATTATTATAAAGAATTCGCAGCTTGAGCTGCAGGGATTTCTCCCAATAGTTTCCATGGATTTTGTCGACAACTGTTGCAAATACATATGTAGATCCAAGAGCATGAATTTGAATAGTGCCAATTTCTCTTGAAATAACTCCACATAATAAAAAGGAAAAATATTCGTCGCATTAAATAGGAATATTGCAGACGCTTTACTATTGTTACATCACACTTAACACTTGAATTTGATCAGACTCTTACAGACTGGCTACTTCAATTGAATATTCAATTCACAGTTATAAATCCATCAACTTAGAAAACATCTAGATTTGACGAGTATTGACTTTTCAACTCACCGAGTCAATTTGTAGCTGCATGAATAAACAACAAAACAATATCAAATTGTTATTTCGACACAAAAAATGGTATGTGAATGAGTCACACGTCTTTTTCTAAATCTTGTGATGGAGTTAACTTTTCAGAGAATAAAAAACGTAATTTAACAAAACAAAATTACGTTTCGTCGCTCTTAGCAAGCGTATTTGACCTGGACACGCTCTTACTATCGCGTCTGGCAAGGTCATGATTTAGAGCAGCATCGCACGCAGCTTCACGGAAGCCCGGAGAATGCGCAACAGCGTATTTACTGAAATGTTGCTAACGTCTAACGCATCGGACTTCTTAACTAAAGAACCGTGGAATTACAATAATTACCAAAAACTGCCATATCATGTTTAGCTGGACCAGAAAAAACTGATTGATGACATTGAATTTGAAGGAGTCCAAAAGATCAAAAATGCTTAAAAGCAATAGCGGCTGCAAAGAAGTGTAGCCTAACGTATTCGCAAATGTTACACTTACACGGCTGGACTAGATGACAATTCACTGGTAGGATGAGAAAGTTTTCTGGCACGGAAGCTCTCGTAGTGCACTTCGTGGGTGACTTCTTGCATATCTTGCATGTGAGTACTGAAAAACCGCAGGCTGGTCTAGAACTGGTTGTCTTTCAAAATTATTGTGACCGTTAGTAGTCAAAACCAGTACATTATGAAACACTAATTTCTTCAATCAGAAAACTTAAATCGCAACACAGTAGATTGAGCTTGCCGGCTTTCCGTCAAAGATAAAAAAAACACCTACATAATCATGGCCTGTAGTTTTCTGAAGTCACAATGAGCAGGGTTGTCCAAGTCCACCACACCCCAAGGGTACTTTCTTCCTCTCACCATCTTACCCCCGCTAGCCTCTACTTCCATATTGGAACCAACCACAGCAAATGGCGTACTCATCTGAAAGCATTTAAATACACTACTCAAACTTCAGAGAACATACACACCTGAGCACTTCTTTTCAGATGTGCCCCTTTTATTTCCTACTGAAGATTTGTTTCTCAGGCTATGAAACTTGATGTTAGTGACATGTTACTCAAGTGAAAAAATCGTTGAAAAGTCACAGCAAACTCGAATTCTGTTCATAACCAGTTCATACCTGCAGTTCTTTGTTCTGAGCAATGTACTCCTCGTCCTCGTCCGATTCCGCATCTGGTATTCTATACACACGGATTCCATGTTCTTCTATCTCGTGCAAAAGCTGCTTCTTCATAGCAGCCACTTCAGCTGTAGTCAGTGTGTCGCTCTTCGCTATCACGGGAACAATGTTCACTTTGTCACACAGGTTCTTCATGAATTCTACGTCGATCGGTCGAAGACTGCAAAACAAATTTTGCAATTAATTCCTTTATTGTTGAAGAAACGATGTAAAAGGAAGCCATTAATTCCTTTATTGTTGAAGATTAATTCCACAATTTTGCAATTAATTCCTTTATTCTTGAAGAAACGAAGTAAAAGCGTTAATGACAGTCTTTTGTGCGGCATTGAGCTCAGAAAAATGCTTGATGCAGCTTTGTGACGCGTTTTTTCCTCGAAGCAAAACAACGCTCAACGAAGAGACTGACCCATGAGCCGAGGGGTTGATGAAGTAGAAGCAACAGTGAACCCTTGTATCTGTAATGTTTCTTCGATTCAAGCCACTCTCGTCTTTCAAGTACTGTTCGAATCTCTCGTCGATGTACTTGCTGATCGTTTTATAGCTAAAACACTCACGTTTTACTTCTCCTTTTCCTTTCCACACATTTGTAACTGATAAGATTATAGCAATTACACTTGTACATATTTAAAACAGTTGCAAACTAACCAGTCAGTATTATTCAGCATGTCTCCGAATCCGGGAGTATCAACAACAGTAAGTCTTAATTTCACGGCCTTTTCTTCAATGAGCACGGACTTGGTTTCGATTTGCACTGTTTCTGGGATTTTATCTACAACAAAGTCACGCCATCTGATAAATACGTTTTCAATTAATACGTTTTCTAGAACAACAAGGCTTAAGTTGCTTGCCTTAATTTCTACTTTTTGTTTCAACAATTTGAAAAATGGGTAGGATCTTTGTATTCGTGTGAGTTTTAGCTTTTTTATTTTTGTTTTCCTAGAAAAATCAATTACAGAAAACTCAAAAGAAAACTTTGACCCGAGTAATGCATACTAGTTTGCTGCAATGATGCAATGTACGCAATTTGTGGCAATCTAGTTTTAACAAATAGGGTTTCACAACAAAAAAAAATACATTTCAAGAATTATTGTTCCGACCATTGAAAATGGGGAGGAGCTTTGTATTCGGGTGTGTTAGTTTTATCTTTTTGTTTTCCACGCAAAACCACGTACCACAAATAATCATCGGACACGGTCGAAGGATATACCAAACTGAAGTCCTTTCAGCCGTGTTTTGAACTACGTTAAAAAACTTTCAAAAAGTTTTCAGTATTGAGATAAACTGGTTCAAAACTTTTGATTTTAATTTCAATTTCGAGCGGATAAAGCGAGCGAGCAGGCTTACAGCAGCTTATTTATGCTAAATTTGAGCACTGAAAACGTAGTTTAAAGCAAGAGAAATAAGTTTGGGATCACCTGAGTTTTTTTAATTTTACCTGTTTTTCCATTTGTAGATCTCTGTTTGATGAGCTCTGTTTTACGGAATAAACTACTGATTAGAGTGCTTTTACCCAGACCGGATTCACCTGAAACACAATTGCGCTTAATCACATTGAAACGCTTAAAGTCCTCAAGAAAATTAGTTATATTTAGTGAAATTGAGCACACAATGACAGATAATGAGCGGCCACTTACCTACAACCATCAAAGTAAACTCAAATCCTTTCTTTACTGATTTTCTATGATACTGATTAGGCAGGTTGCTGAATCCCACTCCTGGTTCGTTTTCAGCAGCAGGCGACATGTTGATCTGAGATATGAAACTTATTAGTTTGTAACATTCGTCTACTGCAGTCACACATGAGGCTTAAGAAAAATAGGCCCTATAACCACTGGCTCAAGGGTCAGGGACACTATCTCTTGTGTTTTTCTACCTCAAGAACGGTCGGAGCCAGTTCGGTTCGCTTGTGACATGAGACTACGACCCGTTACAGCTTAAAGGCTACTACTAAAATATCCCCCCACTCTAGAATTAGAAACGTCCCCATACTTAGGTCTCTAGATACCCAAAATACATGAACGCCGTTAAAAACCGGGTTGGAACAATCCGTTAAGTTACTTTTTATTAGACAGTGGAACTTTGATCCATTTCAGATGGATCAACCTAAAACTCACCTTACCTCAACATCACAATTATAAAACACACTCTAGGAATTTAAATTAAGTACTCACATTGTAGCACGCTCAAGAACCAGGAAGTAAATAAGTCGGTAAACAACTCAAGAGTCAACAAAGTAACTAAAATGAGTTTAATGTCAGTCAGTTTTAACAACAAGAACAAGTTTTTACTCTAGACTGCAAGTTCTCGTGAACCATTGGGACACTCTAGCTGTCCACCTTTCCACCGAAGGTTCACTCTGGTCCAGTCAATGATAGTATTCCAATCGTAATAATCCAACTCGTGGGAATGCTCTCGTCTCTGTTTCAGATGGGACAGCTCTACTCTAGGTTATTATTGCTTTCGAAATTGCGAATAGCAATTTCCCACCGATTTTTCTAGCAACTTTCCCGCGATTGTTACTCAATTGTTCTGAAATTGTTCTCTTTTCTTTTTCTGATTTTCAGTTCTCGCGAGAAAATCGTGCATGACAGGTTCCATTCGAAATTTTGAAAAATTAAATTTCCCTCCAAAATCAAGTGTTTTTTGCTCCTCTCAAGGTCAAACTTCCAAATATGACCGACTGGCACATACTCCCCGGACTCGAGATCGATGTCCTCATCGCGCGCTGTCTTCTGCCAGTGAGTCCCAGAAAAACCGAGTGTTGCTCAAGATACAGTGCCAGTGGTCATTTACAGAAGTTTGCAGCAGATTTAAGCTTATCTACACCCCAAAATTCACAGCCATTTAAAATTTTCACACTATTGCTAAACAGCAACCAAAATCTGCATACACCTGCACCCTTGAATTTTCGCTTTTCAAGCCAATCATTTTAAAATCTCTTTTGTCCTATTCAATCAGGAAATTGTCATGCAGCATTTCGATTTATATAATAAATATAGTATATTAGTAACAATATTTGCTTTGTTAAAATTTCTTTTTCGTGAATCCAAGTTTCACTCGGATCCACGCTCAAGCCCCCCTTCCCTCTCAAGACTCAAGATCCATCCGATTTGACCATTCATCTCGTGCTCTTCGCCTTGGAGGTACTGCATCCTGAAGTGCTAGATGCGGCAAACTGTCTCAACAGTTCCTCTTCATCATCGGAACTAATCACAATCTCCTCCCAAGCCTTCAGCTGTTCATAGGATCGCATCCATTCTCTCTGCTCCTGCAATCTCTTTGCTTGGTTGGGTAGTGCCTTCACCCTAGCTTCTCGGTTCAAGCAAAAGGAGTTGTGCAGTCTCAAGCTCACGTTCTTCGCCAGGTCTTCCTCTAGTATCGACTCCCTCGCTTTGGTATTGTCTCTAGACATCTTACCCACTCTTTTCCATCCCGTCGTGATCGCATTACGATGGGTTAGCAGGGGTCTCTTGAAAGCTTCCGGCCCAATCTCGGCCTGGAACTGTCGATACTCTTTTTGATGTTTTCTCATGTGATCTTTCGTTGTCATGTACAACCAAGACGTCAGTGTCGCCCGAAACCATGGAAAGTACCTCAAGCGACTCCATACGTACCTGACTTCCGTCGGTATGGCGAATACTTTGCACGCAGTCTCAAACAACTCGAGTCTCCTGCTGTAGTCTATCGCGTATATTGACTCAGCCGTTGGCGTCGTCGCCTCCCGATACTTCGTTATATTCTCTTCTATCCATCTCAGAGCTAACATCGTACTCACTACTAAGAGCGTCACCTTCTGCCGGTGATCCGGTAGTCCGATCGACCGAATCTCTTCCACATCCCACACCAGGCAAAGGTTCTTGTGATCTGGATACCACACCGTTTGTGCCAAACAGTGGCATGGGCATTCCCCATGAGAGATCTCAATGCTCCTGAGATTACGCTCCCCTGAGGCTTCCAAGAGAGGCTCAAGCTCCATCATTTTCTCGTGCATCGTGTCGTTGTCTTCCAGGTTCGGAGTACTTCCCACAGGTTTCCCGATCACGTTTTGTCTCTCGTGATCGCTTGTGTTTTCTCTTTCCAACTTCAGAAGATCTTCTCCCCAGATTTCGCTTAAGTCATCTCTCAGTTCTTTTGGTACTGTCCCTTTGATTTTTCTCAACAACTTGTGCGAGTGATGCGACATCCGAGCCAACCTCACGCACTTGGGCACTGAGAAGGCCTTGTCCACCAGTATTCTCTGGCTGGACACTTCCACCATCGCCATGTGTAGCGGGTAGTGACTTCCGCACAAGTTGGCCATCATTGACCCTATCAGCGATTTCGCGTTCAATGGCAAGCCATAAGCTTCGCTCATGGGAAATCCCATTTCCGCCTCAAGACCAACCTTCCAGCTCCGGATGTGTTTTTGAGTCACCTGCAACACCCCGGGCCATGATTCCACGCTCAACGCCGTCACTAATTGATGTTCAGACTCCAGTCTCTCCAGTGCCTGCAGACCACACATTCTCGAGAAGAATCCGAGAGCTGTCGCTATATTCACCGTGGTTCTCGCGTAACATTCCGCTATTATTTGCACTTCACTTTTCTCCCTTTCTGTGATGTCTTCGAACCAAGTGACCAGGTCTTCTTTTTGAAACGACAGTATTCTGACGCATGACCGTCCATCGCAGATGTGCTCTCCGTTCCCACACGTCGAATCCAGACAGCTACCCGGCTCCAATTTCTTCACTGACCCGGGGTCGCTCGTCCTTTCGCTTGGCTCTTGCATCTGGGGCGTGATTAGCTTATGTAGCACACTCAACTTCGCCAGATCTTCATCTTCCGTTGGTGCTAACCTCACTCGCTCTGTGGTTTCCTCGATTAGACTTGCATGGGGATGTGGACACCAGGAGGGTCTTAGTAGCTTCCATATCACTCCCAAGTTCGTGGTTAACAAGCCATTTCCACCGCCCATGTTCACTTCAACTCTCTTGTTTGAGCGCGGTATGCTTATCACCTCTGGTGTTTTCTCAAGAATCAGGCCCAGGCTCGGCCCCTCTTTCTCCACCGCGTCTATCTCCATTATTTTTTCTGTCCAAAACTTCAGTAGCTCCGCTACCTCATGGTTTCTGTGGGCTCCTCCAGCTTCCGAGTCTAAGAAGGGATTGTAGGCCATTCCCATCACTCCAGACACATGTTGGTATTCCCCCTTCTCACTGAGTCTCGAGTACTGTTCTGACGAGGCCAGGTTACGGTGAACATCATGTTCTTCCTCGAACTTCTTATTAGAGAACCTCCGTACCTCGTCCAGCTTCCGATGGTTCTCTAAGGATAGTCTGGAACCATCTTCTTTCTCTATTCCTGTACTCTGATATACGTTCAAGATGATCGTTGAGACTCTTTTCTCCATGGATTTACTTCCACTTGCTCTCTGGTGGCATGCCAGGATGGTGCTATCAGACATCATTGACATTATCCATCTCAAGAAACATGTGGCATCTTTTCTTCTAGCCAGGCTCAAGCCTGAATTGTCCCTGGCCACGTGTTGCATCAGTGCCTGATACACCTCTAGCTTCTTGCTTCCCAACTTCAGCCTGTCATACGAGGTCAATGTCTCCAACTCTATTCCCACCAGACTCCAGGTGAACATTAATTGTCCCGCAGTTCTAACGAAGGGATTCGCCATTAGTGGCGGTGCTGATGAGGATGTTCTCATCGCCTCTTCAAAATGATCCTTCAACAAACTCTGCCAGGACCTCTTCAGATGACTTGCCATCTCTATCTTATTAACCTCGGCTTTTTGCTGGGTGGCCCAATTGCGTCGCCTGCGAGCTATTCCACTGTCCAACTTCTTCAAGCAGTCCTCCATTTCCTTCAATGTTTCGAGGGCCACCCACCACGTCCGGGAAGTGTTCCTCGTCTTGTTCCTCTCCAATGGATCACTCGTCACTTGTTTGCCCATGTCCTGATGTGCCTTCGAGATCCATTCTTTGCCGATCTCCACTTCCCCTACCTGTCCGTTCGTTGAACCTCTCTTCACGTTTACCTTCTGAGGCTTGAAGTCTTCTTCTGACGTCGAACTGGTGGAAACCTCTATTTCCTTTTCTACTTCAAGTGGTTTCCTGAGCTCCGAGCTGTTCTTGTATGCCGCCGTCTTGCATCGGGCCAAAACGATGGGCGCCGTCTCTCTCAAGTTTCCTTCCGAAACAGCATCCACTGAAGGACTACCCCATCCTTCCACTTCTCGCTTCCTCTTGCGAGTCTTCACATCTCTGCTCGAGGGTGTTGTGGCTATCATCATTGATTCGACCTCTCCATCCACTCCTTCCAACTCTTGCCTCCCCCCTGCTCGAGCCTTAAGGATATTAGTACTCTTAATCATATTACTAGTCCCAACCTTATCCCTTTTTATATCATCAACCATTTTATCCACAGTTTTTTGTTTCAGAGTAGAGCTGTCCTCACATTTCTCTTTTCTAGTCTTCGATCGTGCGTTCCTCAGCTCCACTAGCTTGTTCAGCAGCTCTTTTCTTGCTTTCTCATCCAGGCCCGTTCCTATCAGGAGCGGTTCCCCGAATCTCACTACTGCGTCCCACAGTTCCTTCTTGAACTTGTCCAGCGTCGTCTCGCTGCCCACTTCTCGATTGAATTCCCCCAGGAATTCCTGCCAAGCGTCATCCTCGAGAGATCCCAAGAATATATCCCTGTTCCCTTCGAACGTGTTCTTCTCCCTTTCCTCCGAGCTCAAGAGTAACATCCCCATATTGAAGGT